CACACACACACACACACACACACCCAAACTACCGGGTGTGGACGCTGAAACAATTCCGAAATCACAAAAGAGTTCCCTTACCGGGTCTGTATACTTCGTGATTTTGTTCCCGGTTACCGGTCTGTGTACACTTCGAGTAATAATATGAGCCTTAAAGTTCCTAACGCCCACTGACGACGCATGTATATTGTGAATTAGGAGTCGGGCTTCAAGTTTTCCTGCCAGTGCCAACCAACGCAGCGCTGTAAAACACTTACCAAAAATATACAAACTAACAAACAAAACTATAACCCGGGCCGAGGGGTCAACAACATCCTAGCAGACAAACGGAGATACTAGACTAACCACCACCATCTACCATCTCTCTCTAACTCCCTCCCACTCGGGAATCGAACTCACGTCTTCTGTGAGACACAGTGAAGTACCTTACTGCCACCCAATAGATGTGGGTGGCTGGCGGGTGGTCTGGTGTGGTTTGCTCCTTCTTTCCTTTCAAACGTCTGTCGTCCTGGTCTCCCCTCCTTCTTTTTTGCGTTTGTTACTCTCTTGTAAAACCTTTAATCTACGGTACTTATATCACCTTATTGTGTTGCAAGTGCCTTTTAACTCTTATGAAAAAAACCACCAAAAAAACTCTTAATCTACGGCAGTTATATCACCTTATTGTGTTTCAAGTGCCGTAAAACTCTTGCTAAATCCAAAATACCATAGGTTATGTCGGTGATGCGAACCAAATCCTATCGCAGTTGATTGTGAACAATGTTTTAAAATATTAACATTCTATTGACAAGATCCACTCCAGCTTGGGTTGGAAAAAGGGGCGTGGGGGAGGGGGGGCAGGCTTATGGATTATTCTGGAATTGCTGATTTCATTATATCTCATGGCATGATGGATTTTTTTTTCTTTTCTTTTTAAAGAGCCCTAAATGGGCATAACGGACATTAATCTTCTTATGTCACATCAAATTTAATATTGCGTCGTTGATGAAGGGAAATCGTGAGCATCAGAATTTGGTTTTTCTTTTTCTTTCTTTCTTTCATTCTTTCTTTGTTTCCTTATTCTTTGTATTCTTTTATCCTCCTCCTCCCTTCTTCCTTATTTCTTCTTCTTCTTCTTCTTCTCCTTCTTCTTCTTCTTCTTCTTCTTCTTCTTCTTCTTCTTCTTCTTCTTCTTCT